AACGACGGTCGCATAATCACCATATCGGAGTCAAAAGAGACCATACCTATTCGCCTGCTCTTCGAGGTTGAACACACATTACAAGCGGGGATGTTGACACCTTCTGCTCTCATCTTGATCTATCCTCGCCATTTCATGGATAACCTAACGTTCAAGAGACATGGCGGAGTTATTCGAACTGGAGGAGGCGAATCAGAAACAGCTACTCTGGATCGGATGCTAAATCTTACCACACTGACTGGTCGAAAAGTGGCGGTGAGAAACATCACATCTCGAGGATGGACGGGCGCGTGTCGACCACAAGAATGTGTTGGAGTGGTGAGGCGTCTGAGGGGGGGAAGAGGCATCTTGACTCTGACCTGGTCAACTCGCTCAGATCCCATAGGGCAACACGCAAAAGAAAGATTCTTACTAGGCTATTACGCGTTATCCTGGTCCTGGGGAGTTTGTGTCAATTATCTGTGTCCGTTTTACAGACAACCGACACAAGATTTTTATGCACCACATGCTATAACGCCAAGGGAAACGGGAAACCCAAAACTAGACAGGATCTTGCGGAAGAAAGAAACGATCTTGTATAATGAACCGGTAGGTGAACCGTAGTATTGGGAAAGAGCGCTGAAGTGACGTGAAACAGGCATTCCCAGCGTGTTTCCCAGGCCTATTGTTTGCGACCAGTTGTCGCTCAGCAATTGCAGTACCTGTACCGCTCGATTTTCATACTCAGGTATATGAGACCTTGGATGACTTACGCACCTACACCTGGATAAACCCACAATACAACGCACCGCAGTTCCCCCTTTTTGGTCCCCCAACAATGGCGGCTGGAAGCATAACGCTTGCGAACATCTTGGCAAAAAGAATACACATCGAAGGCGACCTCAACATAGCGGTATTTCTGCAGTCTTTCAAACAAGATCTTCGGGTGAACCGAATCTTGCATCCATTGCGAGACCCTGACCCACCGAATCCTTGGTACCATCGAATTCACGGAGATGTTTTGGTTATCTGCTTCAAGAAGAAGGCGATTGTGGAGCCCCAGTGCGTAGGTGAAAGTGAATGTCGCGACGCGATAAGGAAGTGAGTACACTTCTGCTATATGCAAAGAGCGCTGAAACCAGCTTTATTAAGGTGGTGGAACAAGAAACCGCGATTTACCGAGGTAGGTAGCCTGCCCTCCATAGAAACTCCCAATTAGAACTGTGTAACGATGAGAAATACATCCCTGCTCAGCGATATGAGAAAAGGAACATGAGTGTAGTGACGTAATGATGATAACCAAAGCAAGGTCAAAGACGGCGGAACGCCGGCACCTAGTGAAAACGACGGGGGAATTTGCCTGTATAACTTCGATTGCATAAGCATTTTTGCGCCATCTTTTTGCCTTTCGAAAGTCACTTTTTCGCAGGATTTTACCGCCGGAGGCGTGCATAACACCCCGGACTTGAACTGGACGTATTCTCTATATTCTGGTGGACATCGCTGTTTGTGAACGCGAGGAACGCGGCATTAGACACGTAGAGGATAGCCTGATACAAGTATCAAGTTCAAGCTTGTCAGGGGGAGCGCGAGCGCGAGAGATGCGCATCGGAGAATGGTGGATCCCGGATTGGAATCAATCAAATTGTCTTAAGGTCAGTTTTTGCTTCCTCTTAAACACTTACGCTGACTTATTAATAGAATAACTCGGAACTTGAAGATGCTGCAGATTTTTTGGCATCAGTAGACCCACCAATCAAGTATATTATTCTTGACGCAGACCACTACGGATTGTCAAGGACCGCATTCTCGAGTTTTTGGCTGTTGGCAAGTCATGAGGAACTTTGGGGTCAACAACTACAACGTCTTCTGGCGGTATGTCATTGTCTTTTACCTCCATTACTCGGAAATAATGAGCTTTAGACACTACCACGCACGCTCCAAATCACCCGAAAGTCCAAGGCAAAATTCTTCTACTTACTGGTCCGCCTGGTGTCAGCAAAACCTCCATTGACAAATCGATCGCGCGTGCGTTGGGACAATTCCTCCGATTCAGCTGAGCGTTAGCGGCTTGAGCGATATCGCAAACATCAAGGGACATCGAAGGACCCACGTTGAGTCGGTGATATGTTGGACACTAAACTTAAGGCTGACGAACAACATAGTGCGATCCCTGGCAAAATTATTCAAATCCCTTGAAACGCGTCGGAACGTCTAACCCACTCGTTCTCATTGACGAGGTCGACAAGATTGGCAGGGGCATCAATGGCGACTCTGCGAGTGCGCTGCTGGAAATGCTGGACCCCGAGCAGAACGACGTGTTTTTTGGACCGCTAGTGCGTTTATTTCCTGTCTTAGTTCGTCGTTTTCAAACCGCTCAGCATGGACATACCCCTCGACCTTTCCTCCATCCTTTTCGTCTGTACCGTCAACACCCTCTCCGCTATCCGTTTGGAGGTGATTGAGGTGTCAAGCCAAGGAGTCGTCTGGTCTTAGCAGACGACAGCGACAGGGATAGGCGCACCGAGCGAGTCTGACAACGATAGCGATACTAAAGCTGTCTCACCTAAACACGACACGGAGCCCCAACCACAAGCTCCTAGCGAAACGAGTGATGACGCAAGGGCGCAAACTTCTTCCTATTCCCAAGACGGCCCATGTCCTTATTACTCCGGAGAACCTGAAGGAGTATATGGGTCCGCCTGTTTACCAGAAGGACCGCATGTATGACGACGCGAAGCGGAAGCCGCCACTGGGCGTTAGCATGGCCCGAGGTACTTGTACTTGGGCAACGGGAGCGCAGCCGTTATGCCGATTAACAACACCCAGAAAGTGGACTCCTCGTTCGTGGCAGTATTTGAATATGTATACGACAGGCCCTTGTACATAGTCCGTCTCTGCCGAAAATGGATTTAATATGTCTTTTGGGTGGGGATGGAACCTGCGATCCATCGCGTAGGCGCAGATCATCTCGTGATGCGCAGCGCTGTGACTCAAGGTTGAAAATTTCTGCCATCATCTCATTGTGAGCCAGCCTCGAGCCTCGGTGTTTATACCGCCTGCTGTGGGCAGCATCGAGTAGTTAATGCCAGAGGTAAGTGGGTCCCAACCAGGACAGTGAGATCCAGTCTACCGGCGCCACTCAGAAAAACACATTTCAGATGCCCCATTCCACAATCCAAGGAGTGAAGACAGACAAAAAAGTCAAATCTCACTTGGAAGGTGAGAACACTAGGTACGGTCAGACATGACCGAACGGACGCCAAACGGAATGCCGAACGGAGACGTGATGGCATCCGTTCGTCACAACCTAACGACGCTCTTGCGTTCCGGCCTCAAGGGCCGGAACACACTTCATTCGCACCTGCGAACAACCACCACAAGCCCCTAAACATGGGCTCATTGCGCATCACCGCCATCACGGCTGCGCCTGACTCTGACTCCGACCACCACCATGGCTCCTAAGCCAGCGCCCTCTGCTGCCAGCAACTCCGCCACCAAGAAGGCCAGAAAGCGGTCTCGGAAGGGTGCTGCACCACCCGAGGTCGAACTTGCTAAGGGAGAGGATAAGGAGAGGGGGAAGGGGAAGGGGAAGGTGGATGAGGGTGCGGCGCCGCCCGATACCAGAGCAGCTCAAGAAGGACCTGTATGTTGTGCCATTGGTCTGGTTTCACTTCCTTACCTCTTCCCAGCTTCAAGAACCATGGTAAACTGGAGAAAACCAAGGAGATGGTCAACCTCATCACCAGCACGCCGCTGTTTGAGGCAAAGCTCTTCCCAGCCTCGGGCAAAAACCTCTCAACAGCTGATGGAGGCGGCATTAAAGTCACACACGTCCATTTCAACCTCGCCAAATTACTCTTTGGCAACATCGACGAAACTCATCAGGTGTACTTTGACTGGCTCAGCATTCCGGGTCGTAAAGCGAAGGATTGCGCAGTCATGGGTGACAAGATCAAGCATTGGCTTGCAAAGTAAGTCTTGCTAGCCACCTCTCATGTTGCTCCAACTCACAAACTCATCCTAGCATCACGACTGAGGCCATTGATTTGCGGAACACGATGACACAGACTGGTGCTGGCAATTCAATGACTAAGAAAGAGCTCGCGGAGCTGCCAGAAGATGATGAGCGTCGCTCGGCATGGGGTACAGCAGCTATATCGCCTTCTTTTTCTTTACTAACATCTCTTTCTAGGCTCAAAAACTAAGGACTGCCTATGGTTCTGGACCCTTATCGCACTCATTGGCCACCATCCCAAGAACAACCCGGTAGCCATTGGCAACAGCATGGCAACACAAGTGACTCCGAGCAGCTGTCGATGCCCATTAACCCCGCCAATGACGACAAGGGTGATGGGGAGCAGGATTCAGATGAAGACCTCAACTCCCAGTCCTCCGCTGCTGCTGGCGGCGTGTCGGATGGGTCTGATGATGATGATGAGCCATCAGAGGACGTTGTAACTGGTCATAAACGCAAGAAAACTGCTGCGAGGCCCTCACCCTACACACCCGCCAAACCCGAGCCTACACCAGCCACCGTTGCAGCTCGTGCCATCCCAGCAAAGAAGGGGAAAGCAACCGATCTTGCGGTGATGGTGGAGGAGGAGAACAAACTACAGTGTGAGATGATGGAGCTGTCGAAGGTGGAGGCAGCAGCCGCTCTTGAGCAGCAGAGGGCGCGAACAGTGCACTCAAAGGCGCTGGCTCGGCAGGCAGCTGCGCGTGTCTTGAAGGAGCAACGCAAGGCAGATGATGCAAGGCTTGACCGGGCTGGCAGGCTGCTTGATTTGGAGGACAAGTTCGGGCCTGTACGTGTTCGCCAACGGTTCCCCCAACTCTACGCCAACCTGGAGGGTGACAACGCAGCACCAGTAGGAGCTGGCTTGTCCGACCATAGCTCCCCTGGACCATCACATGCAAACTCCGACTTCAGCTCTCCTGCCCCATCACACACACCCTTCGACATGAACTCAATGGGCATGGACTACAACAATCAGTTCTACGGGGAGCAATGGTAGACACTAGTCAAATCCAAGTTGCTGTCTACGTGTAGCTAATGCATTGAGTAAATAACCTTTTAATTCATTCCATTTCGCTTTTCCTGCAGCAAGACGTGCACGCTGGCCAGCTGAGGTTTGTTCAAGCTCAATTGAGATAGCATCAGCTCCTGCGGCTGCTCCATTTAGCCCACGGTTGCAACGTATGTGCTTGGGAATGAATAAGTCGTCTTCAGCAGCAGTATAGTTAGTGTTGCCAGGTCGTTTAGCGCGCAGTTTTGCCTCATGTAGAAGTGCGAAATTGTGAACCGTTACACAAGCCATGATCCACTGAGTGGCGTATTTGTGGTCGGCTTTGTTCGTGATGTGGAGACGTAGTCCTTTCAGTGACTGTTGTCGACCCTTCAAAAAGCTAATACAGTGCTCCGATCTGACACGGACATAGGAGACATGATTGTTGAAGATCATATTGTCGGGAACCTCGCGTTCGGGGCTTTTGAAAGGTGCTGTCAGCCACCGAGAGATTGGATAGGCAGCATCACCCCAGATAAACTCTCCATGAAGGAGAAGCTGATCAAGCTGCTGATAAACCCGAGTTCCAGTCCAGGCTGTTGCATCGTGCGTGCTGCCAACATATCCATAGCCAATATCAATGATCTGGAGGTTGGGCAGGTTTACAACCTAGCAAAAGTCAGACAAGAAAAAAAAAGTAGATAGCACTCACTTGAAGATTCATTGAGTAGTTCATCTTGCGGTCGAAGTAACCAGGTCCATACCATGACGGGATTGTCACTAACGGAATTAGGGTCCCGTCAACCATACACCACCCCTCTCGCCATTCCCAACAACCCGACGTCCTTTCAACCCATGCCTTACTTTCCTCCTTCTCCTGTGCGGATGGCATTCAGACATACTTTGCGAGCATTCCGCTGCCCAGAATGGACGTAATGACACGACGGGTGCATAGTGGAATTGTTCCCTTGCCCAGCCCAGACCACCATGACACAGACTGTAGAGATGCACCATTTCCATCATGCCCAAATTGGTAGAGCGCAACCGCAAGCTGCAGCTCGACAGGTGTTTGAGGTGAATTCGAGTTATTTGTGAAGACAGGATAGTGCTCAATCTTGCGGAGAAGTTTATCGAATGTGGTTGGCCAGATACGAAGCTCCCCACGGAAGGCGACCCGGTTGCTGTGCTTCCACTTTTTGAGACATGTCTGGAGTATCGTATCGATTTTGATGGCCGCTCGATCAGCACTCGGGGCACATTGTATCGCTGGGCATATAGCTCGTCAATCTGGCTTTGTACCCAAAGGTGTATGCGGGATACTCCACCCGGGATGCGACACTGGTGGCAAGGAATTCGTAGTGGCTCATTACGCAATTCAAATGAATCAACACTTGAATCTGAGTCTGAACTTGAAGATTCAGAGCTGGTTGAGCTGGTTGAACTACTCCAGTCATCGTTATCATCAAGGTCGATGGTGGGCAATCGGCGGGGAAGACCAATTGAGGCCCGCAGTATACTGAGTTGGCTGGCTGCAGATAAGCCCAGTGTTTTCAGGCGGTGGCGGCGGCGGAGCAGCAGGTGCTGCCGTTGGCGAGCATAGGCCGTTGCTGATTTGAGTAGCGCTGCCACGCGTCCACGACGCGAGTCTGTGCAAGCCATCGCGACTCATGCAGAGAGAGAAAGAGGATAGGAGTCCTTGTCACACTTAGCGTCACACAGGGGCAGCAGCGGCGTGTCTTGGTATCACTGTATCAGGCGCCCTTCACCATCTGTGTTCGGTGGTGCGGTCAAACAAGAACAGCGAATTCGGGACCGAATACAAAATCTACGCGACTTGTTCGGCATCACTCGTTTGGCACCCGTTCGGTCATGTCTGACCATACCTACTGATGAGGCAAGGCTGAGAGTGCAACGTGCACTGTGTCGCATCTTGTTCAACTTGTATGACTGGTCATATTCGGTGATCAGGGACAAAACCGGCCTACCTCGCGAGATAGTCTCACGAGCACTGAAAAATGTTAAGCTTCAAACACGAGTCGAAGGTGGGCGCACAATGTCGTACTATGTGGACAGGACAGACATTGTCACGATGGACAAGCAATTTGTCAACAATGATCTTCTCCGAGATTTACTCAATGAAGAAAGGCCGCTAGAACATGTCCAGAGCGGCTCAGTTGGTAGTGACCCAGACTCAGACCCTCGTCCAACTGGAACGAAACAGAAAAGGTTCATGGCAATCTGGGCAGATACTACTCACAGTCTGATCAAATATCACTTGGATTCAGCTTTCCCAAGCTGACCCATTCGGACCACGCCCTATGTCGAATTCTCTACCACAAACATAATTGGAGGCTGGATCTTGTGGCAGAAGCTTTTGGTCAGTTGCGTCCTAGAGGAAAATCGCCCCTGTATAAAGCAGTGAAGAACATTCTAAGCGCCAAAGGCTCAGATATCAATGATCCTTTGAGAGACCATGAATTCGTCAACAAAGCCAGACTCGCAGAATTGGTCCGCTCACACTCACCTTCTGCTCATCCACACCGCCGTTCCACCTCACGTGCTAAGGCATCTCGTTTCAACCCATACAAGTGATCTCCTGGGAAACAGCGGAAGACTATGCATGCAAGTGGAAAAATGCTGCCGATCGGGACAGCCTGAGCCAGCCTGACCCCTTTGACTGTCTGCCGTACTCTCATCACGCCCGCGATGCTGACTCGGATCGTTTGTCCCCATCTAACGGTAGTTCTAGTAGAACGGGCCATGTCGGCTCGCGTGCAGCCTCTCTTGAAAAATATCCCACTGCATCCAGCCAGATGCCATCGCTCTTCGAATTCCTCGCAAATATTGGACCGGAAATCAACCTCTCTGATCGACACAGCTTGTTCATCGATCGAGGCATTGACACCATTGCAAAGCTTCGGGCAATGAAAAGCTGGGACAAAGAAGACCTCCACGGGGCGCTGAGTGACTGGTTCCATGACAAAGTCACCACTCAACGACTACGAGCTTGTCGCCCTTCGGCAGGCCATCCAAAAGCTGTAAGAACCCACATACAAATATCAAAGATTGCTAGTTCTGGTTGAAACTGTTACATAAAGATCGAGTACAGAGAATATACAAAGCATGTTTACTGAGAGACAAATGAGTACTTGCCCGAGTCGACCCAGACCTTCATAGGCAAGCTTGTTATCATGGTGATACCCTGGGCTTGTGCCACGGCCTTCCCATCCTCGGTTAACGTCTTCGCTGAGCTGAACATTGTACCACTCACATAATAGATGGTATAGAGAATGGCAGATTGATTCATTTGAACTCAGGCTGGATCCGGTTGATCTGGGTCCCATCGTACTGAAGACAGTGAGACAACACATTGAAAGCAGGCGGACCCTTAGAGTTTCTTCTCTTTGGATCCTCCCCTGCTAGGTCGGTCCCTCCGTGTATTTCCCATAGCTTTTATTCACGCTTTGGATCCTCCCCTGCTAGGCTTTTGTCGGAGTCTCCAGGGTTGCCCTTACACGCTCCTTCAAACGCCTAAGGCAACAATATATGCTGAGAGCGTAAGTCGCGTGTTTTCATTGTGCCACTCGGTCCTCTGCAGTTTGGGATTATGTTGACCCGTGATTTACAGGGGTTCGTGGCTCTTTCACTCAGATACAACGCTTGTTTGGCTACTGAAATACTTATCCCACGCCTTAGCTTCTCCAAGAAATTACCTCTGTCAATGCTACTCAAGAGGCAGAAGTCTTGCAGACAGTCGCGCCAAATCGCCTCTTACCGAGTTGGACGACGATGATGATGTTCCTGACCACACATCCCTTCACTTGCCAGAGCCTGGTCTCGGGGAAACAGAAGAGATTCAAGCGAAATTTGCCACAGTATCCGTCATGCGGGCCCAATTTGGCTCCGTCATCAACCTTCTCAGCAAACATCCTACTCCAGCCCCGACCAGGATCGATCCCAGCGAGCAGATGGATATGCAGCTTGATGAACAACTCACGCTATGTACAAGCCATCGCGCTCGACAATACTGCCGTCACGGACTGCAATCCTTCTCACGTCGGTTCGCATGGGCTCGAATTTGCCGACCTCCAAGCCAAGTATCCCTGATTGGAGTCCATTCTTGCAACACACACTCGCAAAGCTCAAGACCATGCCGAAGATCGCGAGGCTGAGCTTGGAACTTTGAGAGATACTCTTGCCGAGTTGGCGGCAGCAAGAAGTTTGTTGCAGAAGGAGATGGAACAATTGACAACACAGATTTCCGACTTAGACCGCATCAATGCATCTCTCGCTGCGGGCAATAGCGGTCTTGAAATAAAGCGGGGTCAACTGACTGCTCAACTCGAAGATGTTTAAGGGAGAGCTAACAAGCTTTCCTCGCTCCTGGCTGCGCTCGAACACAAGTCAGTGAAGCTGAAGTGGAGAGCACTCAACTTGTCAATGAGAACAATGAGCCTCTACGAGAACACGATAATTTGAAGGCCTCTTGGATCATGACGTGCTCGAATGTCGTTGCTGAAAACGCAAGACAGAGTTCGATTCCAGAAATATGAAGATTGAACATGCTCAGATGCAACAACGTCTAGTTGTGGCTGAGACTGAGCTTAGCATGCCACTATTGAACAGAAACTTCGCCCACAGTTGGAATATACTCCCAAATGAGCACCTCCCAAGACAACCCATCCACCCATTGAAGAATCACGTACACTCGGATACCTCCACTGCCTCTTTATCTTCGTCTCCGTTTGCGCCCGTTGAAGAGTCGTTCGTCACGTTGTGCCCGCCGTCACCATCGGTGTCACCACCGCCGCCGCTACACCATCCACTGCCCCCCATATGCAAACACACCCCCACTCCCCATCCCTCCGAGTGACTTGGGCGGCACATAGTGAAGACGGGCCTGGTGCCGTCTACGTCCTCGCAGCCATCAATATGGACACTGGCCACCTAACGATTAAAATCGGGCAATCAATAGATCACCCACGCCGTCTACAATAACATCGTTCGAAATGCAAGGGTCAAATCTTTGACCTCAAATTAGCGTTTTGGGTCCCATTTCGAATCTGCCTCGGTATGCTTTATTCTGGATTGTCCCTTTACTAAAAACAGTACTAGAACGTATCAGTATGGCTTGGCCAAGTCTTCTGTGCCGACTGTTGCCACTTCCACGTCGAGTACTTTGACGCACAACGCTGTGGAAGCTTCGAAGACCTGGGCTTCGCGATACATATGCTGATTAGGTTACAAGGGCGGATTGTTGAAAGAATTGATTAAAATAACATTACAGAATCATTCGAAGTGTGTAGTAAGCATATTTCTCCAATACTTGAGACATATACAATTCAGTAAAGTATGTTTACAGCAGTCTTCTTTGACTTGAGTTAGCGGTCTGATGATTGCGCGCAGTGATATGCATACCGTGCGTAGCTGCCATCACCTTTCTTGTACTTGTGTATGCCATGGTAGCTATTGAAGATTAGTGAGAATCTAGTTGTACCAGTCCAACAGAATGACCAACTGGAATCGATACTGTAGTAATTTATTCAATTCGGCGCCCCAAAATGGTGTGACATTGGCGCCGAAATTAAATTTTCGGTGCTGCCTGTCGATGTGTGTGACAGCCAAAATTTTTTCGGCCTATTTAGCGGCCCGGAGGGCCGCCACAATTTTTTTTGATGCTTTGATGGGCATTTGACATTCGGCATCTGGCTGTGGGCCCGTGACACGCTGAAATATTTCAGCGCCGGAGGGCTGGTGTGACACGTGACTGCCGAATTGAATAAATTGCTACAGTATTGGGTATTCTCCCATACGTGCTGTGAGAGCGCGTCACAGTATTCTTTTTGCGTCCGTCACCTCCAAGTCCAAATCCGACATGTCGATGATTGCTGAGAGCTGGTGTATCTCGTCAGCTGTCGAGAGAGCCTCGGAAAATGCGTCCGGTGTGAGTACTGGTAAGTGCAAAAACTTCGGTAGCTTCCAAGTCGATGCCGTTCCCCCGAGGCTTCTCGTTCAAGGCATTCTCCTTATCAGAGTCTTCATTAAGCCCGTCATCATTTCCACCAGATTTCTGTGCTGCATGTTTGGCTCGTTTGGCATTTTTGTCACGGTCGGCACAAGCACGGCAGCTGCCAGTGATTCCCAGTCCTGACGCGTCGAATTTGCCCTTCCAGTTTTGGGCTGAAACTGCCTTTTGCTTACGACACCTAGTACAGCATCGTAGTTCTTCTCCCATAGCTGGCAGAGAAGCTTGATGCAGAGGAGGGGTGACCGTGATGTGGCACATGATGTGACTCAACGTGGGTGCTACCTAAACAAGACAACTATCGACTTGGCGCCGACGACGACGACGACGAGCGCTGACACAACGTTGTCGTGTCATCGGCATCGGCTCTGATGTCCGATCATCGGACGCTGCGACACTGGTGGGCGTATAGGGTTCACTTCAGAGGTCTTCGGTTCCAAGGTATGTGTTATCTAGTGCCCAAAACATCATTGTTTACAACGGCTTAGCTTATAACTGTTCGCAATACCACGTTGGAACCCCCCACGCAGTCTTTAAGGGAAAGAGATCACGACGGGTGGGTCATTGGGCCGGCACAGTCGAGAGGTGTGTCCCTTTTGCGACTGTGCTCAAACTTCTCCAACAAAGGTGCAGG